CTTACACCATACACAAAAATAAACTCAAAATGGATATGGGACTTAAACATAAGATGGGAAATCATAAAAACCTTTGAATTATCCATAGGCAGCAAATTATCAGACATATGTCGTAGCAATATCTTTACCATGACAGTTCCTAGGGCAATGGAAACTAAGGAGAAAATAAACAAATGGGACTACAAATAAAAAGCTTCTGTACAGCAAAAGAAACCATCAACAAAACAATAAGAAAGCCCGCTGCATGAGAGAACATATTTGCCAATATTATCTCCGATAAGGGTTTAATGTCCAAAATTTACAGGGAACACCTACAACTTAACAAAAGGAAGATAAATAAGCTAATCAAAAAATGGGCAAAGGACCTAAATAGACACTTTTCAAAAGAGGACATACAGAAGGCCAAGAGACATATCAACCACGGATTTTTAATCTTATCTCCTTATACCATTGGATAGCTCTTGTAGTTGTGAATGGAGCAAATTAGAGTATGTTTTCTGTATAAGTGATTTAAAAAAGCCTGGTGGATCTTCATTTATATGAAATAATGGTAATTTTTATTATAAGATTTGCATATCCTTTTGAATCTTGGCCAGTTTCTTCATTGACTCAAATATATTCATTTTCATTGGATGTGACATTTGTTCAGAAAATTATTTATTTACTCCTACATAGTATTTCCTTTTAGTTCATCTCCTGTGTATCTTACTTGTTTTCTTAATATAGAGATAGTGTGTAGATAGTCATTTATCCCATCTAATAAAGAGGGAATATGCTAATTGACCCTCACACCATCACAAGGATGGTGGTGCCCACAGCCAATAAGGAGGGAATATGCTAATTGACTGCCCTGCCCTCAAAGTTGGCGGCGCCCACAGCCACAAGATGGCTGGCAGGGGAGGGCAGTTGTGGGCAATCAGGCCAGCAGGGGAGGGCAGTTAGGGGTGACCAGGCCAGCAGGGGAGGGTAGTTGGGGGCAACCGGGCCAGCAGGGGAGGGCAGTTGGGGGCAATCAGGCCGGCAGTTGGGTGTGACCAGGGCGGCAGGGGAGGGCAGTTGGGGGCAATCAGGCCGGCAGGGGAGGGCAGTTGGGGACGACTGGGCCAGCAGGGGAGTGCAGTTGGGGGCAACCGGGCCAGCAGGGGAGCAGTTAGGCATTGATCAGGCTGGCAGGGGAATGCTTAGGAGGTGATCAGGCTGGCAGGCAGAGTGGTTAGGGGCAATCAGGCAGGCAGGCAGGAGAGCAGTTGGGAGCCAGTAGTCCCAGATTGTGAGAGGGATGTCTGACTGCCGGTTTTGGGCCTAAACTGGCAGCCGGACATCCCCCGAGGGGTCCCAGATTGGAGAGGGTGCAGGCTAGGCTGAGTGACACCCCCCTCAAATGCATGAATTTCATGCACCAGGCCTCTAGTATTTACATAAAAACACAAACTGCTCTGTTCTCTGGAGCTAATAACAATATAAATTAATTAACTTATTTTTGAGCTGCCAGAATAAATCCCTACAATCCAAAAATTTACTTCACTTTAGTTTGTAATTTAATTTGTTTCATAATTGCATTTTCTTCATTGGAAAGTCTCATATAAATGTTTAGAATATTATTAAATATTTTGTTACAACATTATGGTACATGATAATATTCCTAAACCTGATTTGGAATCATAGTTTTATCTTTGGCTTTAGTTTCTTCATTTATAAAAGCTCTGAACCCCTTCTTTATTTCTGAAATTTTTAAATATTTTTTGTTTAATTTATAGTATAATAGTCTCAAATAATATACTAAATTTGAATCTTGTATCATTGTTCTTCAGTTTTTAAATGCATTTAATTGTTCTTCCTTAAAAAATCAAGTGAGGAAATTACATGTTCCTTACTTAGCTTCCTCTAGCCATTTTAGATTTTTAAACATTAATCTTAATGTTGAAAGTGATCCCATTTTGAAATGATGTATTGTTTAGGACCTGAGTAAAATTCTTTAGTAAGAACTCTGTGCTCTGAGGGGTCCTCAGGTGCACTGAGGCACTGAGAGGCTACTTTTCACTAACATATAGGCCTTTTTATCATCAGGATGAGGTAGTGGTCATATTTTAATTAAAATGTCAGAACAAATACTGTTGGAGTTATTGAAAATGAATCACCAGATAAAGTGAGCACTGGGCCATGGCAGGTCAAAGAGGCAAAGTCACCTGGAGAAGAGAACTCAATTCATTTTCCTGCCTAAATGAGGAAGAAGGAACTTTATGAGCAATATGAACTTTTAATACATGAAAGCACATTCCTCTCTGTAGCAAAACCCACTGTTTTTACAGTTTGATGGCTTTTCTCATTATGTTTTGGTTATTTGACAATGATATGAAACCTTATTCTTTAGAGCATTGTAAATATTTCGTTTTAAAATGTGTGCCAAAGAGCCCTAGCCTGTTTGGCTCAGTAGATAGAGTGTCGGCCTGCGGACCAAAGGGTCCTGGGTTCGATTCTGGTCAAGGGCACGTACCTAGGTTGCAGGCTCCTTCTTGGCCCGGACCCTGGTCAGGGCTCGTGTAGGAGGCAAATAATTGATGAGTTTCTCTCACATCAATATTTCTCTCTGTCTTTCCCTCTCTCTTCCACTCTCTCTAAAAATCAATGGGAAAATATCCTCAGGTAAAGATTAAAAAATAAAATGTGTGCCAAAGGAATAACTTTATTTGAGATTTTTTTTCTTTTTATTTGAATTCTATATTCTGTGTGGTGCTTTACTTCATAAGCCTTTGTAAAAGTCAGCCTATTCACTGGACTAGGAAGTTTATTTATTGTAAAAGATAATGTTCTCTTCTCAAATGCAGTACTTCTTTTCCATTGTATCTGAGAAATTTAGTTAGGTCGTGAAGATTTCCGTCTATTCCCTCTCTTTCTTACTTTTTCCCATTTGAGGTATCAGCCAGAGCTCTTGATATAATGCTCTGTCTTAAGAAGCAGTTATACTAATACTTCCAAGAGCCCTACCTCCCAGGCTTCTGTAAGAACATCAAAGATCTCTAAACCCTTCCTTACACTAATCCAAAGACATGTCAAATGTTTTATGCTTAATGAACCTGATTCTGCAGGTGAGAACAGGTGAGAAAATTAAGTGATTGCTCACAATTCACATATGTATTTATTTATTCTTTTAGACTTCAGAATATCCTTCAAAGCACGAAGTGAGCAGTCTTACTGGTAGAACTGTCCTAAGTGGGGGTTTTTATTTTACCTAGGAAATTGAGATTTTTAAAAAAATATGAATTGAAGCTAGAATTTCATTAGCACAATATCTTGAAATGTCTACAATGTAGTATCATCACTGCATCATCTTCTTTCTCTTTTTCGCTCCATTGTGCATGGCATGTGGGGTTACTTCATTCCATCTCATTCATTTCCTAGCTCAAAAAAACAGCAATTCCTAAAAACAGATGTTCTCTTATAAGTGTTAAATTTTTTATTAAATATATTGGGATGACATTGGTTAAAAGATTATATAGGTTTCAAGTGTACAGTTCTGTGATACATGGTCTTCCTTTTGCATTGTGTGTCTATCATCCAAAGTCAAATCATCTTCCGTCACCATATATTTGGCTCCCTTTGCCCTTAACTACCCTCACCCCCCTTCCTTCTGGTAACTACCATACTATTGTCTGTGTCTATGAGTTTTCAGTTTTATATCCCACATATCAGTGAAATCATATGGTTCTTAGCTTTTTCTGATTGACTTATTTTGCTTAACATAATATACTCAAGGTCAATCCATGTTGTCGCAAATGGAAGTATTTTATCTTTTCTTAATGAATGAGTAGTATTCCATTGTATATGTGTACCACATCTTTATCCAGTAATCTATCGAAGGGAGTTATTTTGAAATTGGTGGCTGGTGAGGGTGTTAATCATTGGACTGAGAAGTCAAATGTCTTATCTTAATTCCTTTTGGTATTTGTTGTGTCCAGACTAGATTGAGGCTGTGACAGTCTCCTACTCTTGGTCTCATGCTACTCTGATATGTTACTAAAATAGTTTGCTCTCCCTAAACACAGCATGCATCTATAGACCATTTATTACTTTTATTTGGTATGCCATTGTTGATTTTCATCTGCCTACCTTGTTCTGTACTTACCCCAGTTAATTTGCCCAAGGTCCTATTCTAAATTATCTATTACCGTTTAGGCCTTCACACTATCTAATTGAATAAAATGAGCTATTACAGATAACCAGTTTTACTTTTGGCCAATTGATATATTCCTAGCCAAACCTCCGCAACTTTAATATTTTTTGACAATTGTGTACTTCACAACTACATGTTCTTTTTCCAGCAATCTTGCTTCCTTCCAGTTGACCTCAAAGAAAGATGAAGCAATTGTATGTCTCTTTGAGAATTTTAAGGTCAAAGCCTGATAACTCCCTTGTATCTGGAGCATTTATCTTCATCCTATGTCAACGTCTCATCTTCCTCATGGTCTCTTTTTCAAAGCTTTGACCTCTATGAAATTTCTTTCCTATAACTTATTAGATTATTCATTTTCCCTAACTTTTATTTAGAGAAGGCCCTCCTCTGACCTAGACCTTTCATGAAATACAAGCTCTTTGTATATGCTCAGAAACAGACTGGGCAATATTAAAGGACTTCTAGACCTTAGCCCACTATTCTGCAGTGCTCCTGGAATCTGGTGTTAGAACTCATAGGCGGTATATTTAATTATCTTCCTGTAAGATGTAATGAAACTAAACTCACCAATAAATGTACTAAGAGCCATGTGGTTTTAGTTGTAAAATGAGTTCCTTTTGTCTCTTTATTTTGTCAATAAATAGGTTTTGCCATCTATCATGTACTTACCTTAAGTTAGTGATAGAAACTCATACATCTTAGTATTATTAGAAAGGGGTATCTCAAAGGGTCACTTTTTACTTTCAGAGTTTCTTCATCCTATCATAGTGATAATTTTGGATTTTCCAGGATGAATTAGAAAAATAACATATTTGGTATTCTTATAATAGAGATATTTTATATTAAATACTATAAGATCCTATTCATCCTGAATTAGGGAATGGGGCATTCTTGTTAATTGAATACTGCAATTAGCTTAAAATTTCCAATTGATTACCAATTTAACCAAGTAGATAATTATACCTTTAGCATTTTCTTTATGATTCATGGCTTTGGGTAATCTTCATACATATCCATTGTTATCATTATATAGAATTTGAATTTTTGTTCAGATTCAGACTAAAGAAAATGATGTAGTAAGTAAATATTTTAACAGCAATATTTTTGTTTTCAACCAAAGACAATTTAATCATAGCATTTCTAAGGAACAGAGATAGAAAAATAATTATTATTAAGATAGCAAGGAATAGGCTTTAGGTATTAAGGCAAATGAAGTTGGGCCTTTTAATAAGCACATCATACTTTCATTATACCTGAAAACAGGTTTAAAATCAATTCACAAATTATTCATTGAGCATGTGTTGTGTGCTAGGCCCTGTGTGAGGGAACATAAAAAAAGCAAAAGATTAAGGACTAAGTCTATCTGTGTATCCCCTGCTACTAGCCCAATCTCTAGTACATAATATAGATGCTTGCTGTTAAATGAGAGTTTGTGTGCTGAAACAATGTGCAGTATCCAGCATTATTTCTGTTTATTTGTTTGTTAGTTCCCATTAATTTTGTAATCCAGTAGGACAAAGTGTTAGTAAGCTAGAATGTCGAAGTTTTAATCCTGTATATGCTATTTTTAATGATAGCTTCATTGAAATATAATTCACATACCATATAATTCACCCATTTAAAGTGTAAAATTTAGTGTCTTTTAATATTTGTTCAAACATCACCACAGGCAATTCTACTATATTTTCATCACCTCACAAAGAAACCCAAACCCATTAGCAGTCATCCCCCACCTACCCCCATTTCCCCACAGCCCTAGGTAACCACTAATCTATTTTTTGTCTCTGTACATTTGTCTATTCTGGGCATCTCATAATGCCATTATACTATCAAATTACTATATAATTTTTAAGTTGGTTTGTCTATGTGATACATAAGAAAGCCAATGTATGCTATCGTCTTTAGAGGCATAATTTAAGGATGAATGTAATCATAAGCTCTTTGATACTGGTGAGGAGAAATAATACAAATCTGAGAGAACACAATTGGAGTTAAATCTAAGTAACTTACTAATAATCAAAATAATTTTAAAAATATAACTTGTCTTAGGTTGAAAAGTCATTGCTTGAAATATGCGTATGTATTAGAGTAGGTTATGAATACAGATTTAGTATTGTATATATACAAAGCTCTAATTCATTAAAATACATACTCATGACTTTTGTTAGTAATTGACTACATATTGTAGTTATCAACAAGGCAAATTGTGGTTTACATGTAAGTAAAATTTATGTCTTCCTTTAGAAAATGAAGTTAAAAAACCAAGACTTCTATGGGCTCTTTACTTCAATATGAGAGATTCTTCAGACATCAGCAGGAACTCTTATAATGATTTACCATCCAACGTTTATGTCTGCTCTGGCCCAGACTGTGGTTTAGGAAATGATAATGCAGTCAAACAGGTAAGGCTGTTGGTGTTTTTCAGTCTTGTGTTAAGAAATTGGTGTGGTAGGGAAAGTGAAATGTTTTTTCCTCTGTGGGTTGGGAAAAGAGACTAGAAAATTATCTCTCTCATTAATACCATCTCTATAATTTGCCCTTAAAGTTTTTTTCTATAAACAATAAAACTACTTTAAAGTATCAAATACTTTCACGTTATTGAATATAATGATGTACTACAAGAGTTCATTTATGAATTCCACTGTTGGAATAAGAATAGAAAATGCTACAAATACACATTCAGAAAAATGAATTTGTAATGCCAGTATTCTAAAGAAACATTGTTTCTAATTTAAGCTGTTGGTCTATCAGTGTATTATTTTGAAATTCACAGACTTTTTTCTCTGTCAACCTGAGTCATTTAAAAAGGAGAGTACCTAGTAAGACAAACAAAATTTAATTTTAAAATGGTCTTAAGGCATTATCTTATCTAGGAAAAGAACGCGTAACATAGTTTTTCACAATTAATATGATTCCTTTAATGTTTTCACACAAGCCAGTGTCCCAAAGGCTGCTATTATAGTTGCTGAGGAGTGTGTTAAATGAAACTGGAATTTTGTGACAGTACTTCTGGGCAGGGCAATGAAGAGGTGTGGGGCAGGCTGACACAAACTGCTGAAAGTGAACTATGATTCCATTAAGCTGAAGGTTCATATGCATCTATAAATATACTTTTCTGCACTTGACAGAAAGTGAAGAATAGAAAATATCATTTTTGAAGCACAAGTCTAAACTTGCAAAAGACATAGTTGGCATATATGTCAATTGAATCAATAAATGGATAATTTAACATTGTTCTAAGACCACAGAAGGAAGTTTCAGTCCAACTGGGAACAAGGATCTTATAGGAGCAAATAGCCTCATTGAACCTTTAATTTTTAGTAATAGCGGCAAGGCCATGACCCATACATTTACAGTTTTTGCCCGAGTCTTTGTTTCTCATCTTCAGGGTCTAATGGTGATCCTGGATAATCATATTCAGCCAGTGATTACAAAAGCAGGAAGTCACAACTCTCATCCATCATTCTTTCTATTAGTTTAATAGGAATCCAAGATGGTTCAAGATCTACATTTATGGCTTAAAATTACCAAGTCATTTTTGCTTTGATGTTCCAATTTTTTCCAAGCAGAAATTGCCAACAAGTTTTCAGCCAGGTAGCTTAGGTCATTTTTATTCCTGAGTGAACTTTAATGTTTTTTAACCAAAATGGAAGGCCTTTTAAATAACAGCTTATTATACAAGTGCTAATGTGATCTAAACTGCAAGCTATAAGATTATAATTAAATTATAATTTTATTATGAAGTAATTTGCTTCCCAAGAATATAGTTTTCAGGAGTGTAATATTGTCACAGTAGATTATAATAATAATGCTGGTTTGGGTACTAATTATTACATGCTATTAAATATAAGTAATCTTAAGTTTGTTACATAGCTCTTAACTTCACATTAGGGAGAAAATATTATAATTCCTACTTTAAAGGACATCAGTAATAATATATAAATAGCCAGTTTATTCAGATAAACTGTGTTTTAATTTCAATATATCATCCTGTGTTCATCCCATTCACTAATTGATGACTTCTCTTTGCTAAATTGTCTATAAAAGCTCTCAGATTATCACCTAGGCTTTTCCTATGTAGAAAACATAGGCACCTTCTTTTCTTTTTTATAAATAAAACTAGCAGCCCGTTGCACGAAGATTCGCACAATAGGCCTTCCTTCCCCTGGCGGCTGGCACCAGTTTTCCTCTGGCACCCGGGACCCAGGTCTTTGGTCCAGCCGCAGCAGCGAGGCTTGGCTTCTCGGCTGAGGCTGCAGCAGCGAGGCTTGGCTTCGCCCCCGGTGACCCAGGCCCCCAGGCCCTCCTTGAGCGAAGCCCAGGGCTGGTGGGAAGCTTGGCTTCCTCTGTCGCCGGGAGCAACCCAAGCCTTCTGCTCGCTCCAGCTCCGTGACTGCTGCCATCTTCAGTCATCTTCAGTCTTCGCTCCGCACCTGTGTATGCAAATTAACCGCCATCTTTGTTGGGTTGATTTGCATAGTTGCTCTGATTGGCTGGTGGGTGTGGTGGAGTGACAGAGTGATGGTTAATTTGCATGTTTCTCTTTTATTATATAGGATGCTTCATTTTACCAGCTAGCAAGTTTGCGTCTGCTTTAAAAATATATATATAT